GCAGTAGTAGTAGTAGTAGTAGTAGTAGTAGTCGTCGGAGGAGGAGGATGAGGAGGAGGAGGAAGATGAGGAGGAGTTGGAGGTGGAAGATGAGGATGATTAGGAGGATGATGATGATGAGGAGGAGGAGGAGGAATCGGCGGCCGCGGCGGATGGTGTGGTGGTGGGGATCATGGGGAGGAGGAGGAGGAGGAGGAGGAGGAGAAGCAGGAGGAGGAGGAGGAGGAGGATGGGTGGTGATGATGATGATGATGCTGATGATGATGATGCTGATGATGATGATGATGATGATGATGATGATGATGATGATGATGATGATGATGATGATGATGATGCTGCTGCTGATGATGATGATGATGATGCTGTCGATGATGATGATGATGAGGAGGAGGAGGAGGAGGATGGGGAGGAGGAGGAGCAGGAGGAGGAGGAATAACAATGATATTAAGAACAATAATAAGGCGGATACTAATAATAAGAATATTAATCAGAAGAATCTGAAGAGTGATAATTATCAGAAGAGGAATACTAATATTAATAATACGAAGAAGAAGACGAATAATAATAAGAAGAAGAATAAGACTAATAAACATCATAATACTAATACGAAGAAGAATAAGAAGAAGAAGAACAGGAGGAGGAGGAGGAGGAGGAGGAGGAGGAGGAGGAGGGGGAGGAAGTGGGGGAGGGCGTGCCCCAGCGATCCCCTGGGCAGCTGGGGGGCGGCGGATCCTCGGGCCCTGGGCCTACACCGAGACGGACCACCCGAGGAAGGCCGCGATCGACGAGCTGGGCGCGGCGATGCAGCAGGCGGTCGCTGCGACGAACGGCAAGACCTACAGCTACGGGACGGGCAGTGCCGGGGGCCTCCTCTACCTGGCGTCTGGCGCCTCGGTCGTTCCAGAAGCGCTCGTGTGCGCAAGAAGACAAGGCTGGGCACAACGGTGCTGTGGCGCAGCCCCAATGCCCGCAAGTGGCAGGCTTTGGCATTGCTCACATGGTTGCTTCACGGATGTGCTATGTCGTGGTGCGGCCGGAAAAGGTAGTCCCCGATGCCCCTCAAATAGCAGAAGGTCCCGGTCTAACACAAGTCCAGTGCTCCTGTAATTGCAGAGCGAGGGGGGCAACGCGAGAAGGGCTCTCTGCTGCTCTGGGCTTCGCTGCGTTGGGTGGATCGCGAGAGGGGTGGGGTCGAGACCCTGCAAGACTCGTAGGGTCAGCCATCTACATATGTCGAGGGTGGAGTCCAGGAGAGCTCTGGCATGACCCCCAGAGGAGGTGGAGGAGGAGGAGGAGGAGGAGGAGGAGGAGGAGGAGGAGGAGGAGGAGGAGGAGGCGGAGGAGGAGGAGGAGGAGGAGGAGGTGGGAGGATGTAGTAGAACGAGTTGCTGCTGCTCGTCTGGCTGCTGCTGCTTCTGCTCCGTATCCTGGGGGCTTCTAGAAGGCGGTCGAGGGCCTGTTGTGTGGGCCTGTTGTTATCTTGTGGCCATCTTGGAAGGTCTCGGCGGCCATCTGGAGGAGCGCAAAAGCAGCCTTGGACAGTCCTGGACTGTCTTCGAGACCTCTTGGACTGGCCTGGAACTGTCACGAGGCCGCCTCAGAGTCCTAGGAGTGTCGCATGCGTCCGGGGCCATCCTGGAAGGTCTCATGGGCTCAGCCGTCCCCAAGCCGACACGCCGAACGAGTTTTTGATTGGCAGGCGCCTTCGGAACGCAACACGTGAGCGAGATCTCGAGGGTGAGTCCCACAACCCTCCGGAAGAGGCCCCAGTGTCCTCTCGGAGTCGTCTTGGCCTGCTCTTGGGGCGGCCCTGGGCTGGTCTCTGGGCCAGCCCCCGAGCTGGCGAGAGCGCCGAGGACGCCCGAGCGCCCTGGCCTGCGCTGCCCACTGGGCGGGGGCCGGCTCCTTTGCCCGCAGGCGGCGGCCGCGGTGCCCGCGCTCCGAGTCATCGCGCCTCGGTGCTCCCCGCGCTCCTGCGGGGGCCGGGCGCTCGCGCGGCGGACGGTGCCCGCCCCCCCCCCGCGCCCGCGCACGGGGCCCTCCGTGGGCCCCCAGGTGCGAGCAGCGCTCGCCGCGGCGGATGCGCCCGACGCTCCGCCGCGCAGCGCCCGCGGCGGCGGCCCGCGGCCTCGCTGCGGGGGCGCGGCGGGCGGGCCGGCGGCCCGCTGCGGGGGCGGCCTGCGGCGCGAGCTGCGGTGGCCTCAGCTCTTCGGCGCTCCGCGCGGGCTGCTCCCGTGCACCCGGCCCCGGCCCGGCGCTTCCGCCGCCCTGGCGTCTGGGGGCCGCCCGCGGCAGGGCGTGGCCAGCAGCAGGGGCCGCTTCACCGCTGCCGCGGTGGGGGCTCGGCTCGCGCGCCCTCGCCGGCGGGGCCGATCTCGCGCCGCTGCAAGCCCGAGCGCGTCGCCTTGAGCCAGGCGATCTCAGCGCGCCGCCGCGTAGGGAGGAGTCGATGGCGACAATCCCACCAGCCCTCTGGGCGTCGGTGGTCTAGAGAGTTTCCTCTGCCAACCCCCTTCTTCCCCTTCGGGGAGGGGTTTATCACTGTTCCCTATTAATAAACACTCCCTCCCCCAGGCGACTGGGGGCCAACCAGGGTCCATGACACCCCCCCCCACCATTCCTTGTAAAAAATATCCCGGCAAATCAACCTAACAGCGATGTGTAGGAGCATATCTGGAAGCATTCCCCTTAAGATTCAGATGAGAATCCTGTTGTAGAATTCTGCTGTTCTCGCAGTCGTAGTCGCATTCGCGATGGCAGTCGCAGTGGCAACGGCAATCGCAGTCACAGCCTCAGCCTCAGCCTGCCTGCCTCAGCCTCAGCCTCAGCCTCAGCCTGCCTCTCAGCCTCAGCCTCAGCCTGCTTCAGCCTCAGCCTCAGTCTGCCGTCAGCCTCGGCCTCAGCCTCAGCCTGCCTCAGCCTCAGCCTGCATCAGCCTCAGCCTCAGCCTCAGCCTGCCTCAGCATCAGCCTGCCTCAGCCTCAGCCTCAGCCTGACTCAGCCTCAGCCTCAGCCTGCCTCAGCATCAGCCTGCCTCAGCCTCAGCCTCAGCCTGCCTCTGCCTCAGTCTCAGCCTGCTTCAGCCTCAGCCTCAGTCTGCCGTCGGCCTCGGCCTCAGCCTCAGCCTGCCTCAGCCTCAGCCTGCATCAGCCTCAGCCTCAGCCTGCTTCAGCCTCAGCCTCAGTCTGCCTTCAGCCTCGGCCTCAGCCTCAGCCTGCCGCAGCCTCAGCCTGCATCAGCCTCAGCCTCAGCCTCAGCCTGCCTCAGCATCAGCCTGCCTCAGCCTCAGCCTCAGCCTGCCTCAGCCTCAGCCTCAGCCTGCTTTAGCCTCAGCCTCAGTCTGCCTGCAGCCTCGGCCTCAGCCTCAGCCTGCCTCAGCCTCAGCCTGCATCAGCCTCAGCCTCAGCCTCAGCCTGCCTCAGCATCAGCCTGCCTAAGCCTCAGCCTCAGCCTGCCTCAGCCTCAGCCTCAGCCTGCTTCAGCCTCAGCCTCAGTCTGCCTTCAGCCTCGGCCTCAGCCTCAGCCTGCCTCAGCCTCAGCCTGCCTCAGCCTCACCCTGCATGAGCCTCAGCCTCAGCCTCAGCCGAGCCTGCCTCCGCCTCAACCGGCTTGAGGCCTAAGCCGCCTCAGCCTGAGCTCAGCCTGCCTCAGCCTCAGCCTTGCCTCGGCCTCAGCCTCCTGCCTTCAGCCTCAACACAGGTTCTGACTTCAGCCTCGGCCTCAGCCTCAGCCTGCTCTGCTCACGGGTGATTCTAGCGTCGAAGACTCAGCTGCCTCAGCATCAGGCCTGCCTCTGCCTCAAGCCTCTGCATGCCTTGCCTCAGCCCTCAGGCCTGCTTCAGACCTCACATCAGTCAGCCTGCACTCTAGCATCAGCTGCCTCAGCCTCAGCCTCAGCCTGCCTCAGCCTCAGCCTCGGCTCCAGCCTTCAGCCTGCATCAGCGTCGCCTCAGCCTGCTTCAGCCTCAGCCTCAATCTTGCCTTCAGCCTGCGGCCTCAGCCTGCCTCAGCCTCAGCCTGCATCAGCCTCAGCCTCAGCCTCAGCCTGCCTCAGCATCAGCCTGCTTCAGCCTCAGCCTCATCCTGCCTCAGCCTCAGCCTCAGTCTGCTTCAGCCTCAGCCTCAGTCTGCCTTCAGCCTCGGCCTCAGCCTCAGCCCTCCTTCGTGCCTCAGCCTGCATCAGCTCAGCATCAGCCTCAGGCTGCCTTCCGCTCAGCCTGCCTCGCTGCCGCAGCCTGCCTCTGGCCTCAGCCTCAGCCTGCTTCAGCCTCAGCCTCAATCTGCCTTCAGCCTCGGCCTCAGCCTCAGCCAGCCTCAGCCTCATCCTGCATCAGCCTCAGCCTCAGCCTCAGCCTGCCTCAGCATCAGCCTGCATCAGCCTCAGCCTCAGCCTGCCTCAGCCTCAGCCTCAGCCTGCTTCAGCCTCAGCCTCAGTCTGCCTTCAGCCTCGACCTCAGCCTCAGCCTGCCTCAGCCTCAGCCTGCATCAGCCTCAGCCTCAGCCTCAGCCTGCCTCAGCATCAGCCTGCTTCAGCCTCAGCCTCAGCCTGCCTCAGCCTCAGCCTCAGCCTGCTTCAGCCTCAGCCTCAGCCTGGCTTCAGCCTCGGCCTCAGCCTCAGCCTGCCTCAGCCTCAGCCTGCATCAGCCTCAGCCTCAGCCTCAGCCTGCCTCAGCATCAGCCTGCATCAGCCTCAGCCTCAGCCTGCCTCAGCCTCAGCCTCAGCCTGCTTCAGCCTCAGCCTCAGTCTGCCTTCAGCCTCGGCCTCAGCCTCAGCCTGCCTCAGCCTCAGCCTGCCTCGGCCGCAGCATCAGCCTGCCTCAGCATTCAAAATGTGGCCCAGGAATGGAGTTCTGGGAACTAGAAGAACACGAAGTGGCCTACAGTTGGCTCCGGGCATTCAAAATCATGCCCAGGAATGGAGTTCTGGGAATTCGAAGACCACGAAGTGGCCTACAGTTGGCTCCGGGCATCCAAAATGTGGCCCGGGAATGGAGTTCTGGGAACTCGAAGAGCACGAAGTGGCCTACAGTTGGCTCCGGGCATTCAGAATGTGGCCCGGGAGTGGAGTTCTGGGAACTCGAAGACCACGAAGTGGCCTACAGTTGGCTCCGGGCCTTCAGAATGTGGCCCGGGAATGGAGTTCTGGGACCTCGAAGACCACGAAGTGTGTAACTGTTGGCTACCAAAAAATCCCCGGCACTTCCCCGGATCGCGCCCAGACCCCCCTGGGGCGTCATGATGCTCTCTTTTGACCCTACTAGAAACCCATCAGTCTTCGCTGTTAGGTAACAATGCAAACCACACTCTGCCTTCAAATTCGGAACATGCGCAGCCAACCCGATGCGGCCCCCCCACCACCGTCCCTGTCAACAAACAATACATAGTACACTTGGCGGCGGCGGCGGCTGCGGCGGCTGCGGCGGCGGCGGCGGCGGCGGCTGCGGCGGCTGCGGCGGCGGCGGCGGCGGTGGCGTTGGCGTGGCGGGCGGCTGCGGCGGCTGCGGCGGCGGCGGGCGGCTGCGGCGGCGGGGGCGGGCAGCGGAGGCGGCCGGCGGCGGCGGGGCACGGTTTGGCGGGGGGCCCGGGGGGGCCCGGGCGCGGCGGCGGCGGCGGCGGCGGCGGCGGCGGCGGCGGGGGCGGCGGAGGCGGCGGCGGCGGCGGCGGCGGATTGGCCCCCAGCAGCTGCCCATCCAAAGACGACTGCTGAATATGCTCAGGCTCGGGCCAGACTCGGGTGCTACGTATGTGTTGGGAGGGCGGGTATGCTCTTGGGAGGGCGAGACGGCTTGCGGGCGGGGAGGGGGTCTTGACCCCTCCCCCTACCCCCTCCCCTGGACCTGGACGGAGCGTTCCGCGGGTCGTCGGGGCGTCCAAGATGGCCCAAGA